GTGTGCAGGCCACAGTGAGCCTGGAGCAGGCCTCAGAGGACTGAATCACAAGCAGCTGTGGCAGTTTCCAGACTTTTCAACTCATGAATGCCAAGGACAACTTAGAAGGTCAGTAGGAAAATCTATGTCTGTGGTGAGAGAGAATCTCGGGGTCCCAGCTCTAGTCCCTGAGTATGGCCCTGGGGTGGCTGCTGCCTCCTGAGCTTCTGGCCCACAGACTTAGGGGGAATTGAGTGGCTGATCAGAAGGGGATTGCAGGGACCTCTTCGCTAGTGCAGGATTCTCTTGTTTTGCCTGTGCTTGGATCTGGGTCACAGTTCCTGGTGGCAGTCCTGGGGTGAGGAGGAGTGCTGGCACAGTGGAGCTCGTAGTGGCAGTAAAGAAGAAATCCTCCTCACAATTCCAAGACAGAAAAGAGTGCTTGTGGTCACTCATAGACCAGAGCACAGGCCAGGAAAGGAGGAAACACCTCACCCTTGATTATAGCACCTTGGAAGAACTGAAAACTTACAAGTCCCTAGAAGTATCTCTGAAAACAGAGATGCACAAAACACTCCACACTGGAAACAGACCCTTACCTTAACAAAGAGTTAATAACTCAAGTTATTGGCTGGGATCATGAGCAAGCAGTGCAAAAGGAGTCAGACTATAGAATCTTACTTTGGTGACAAAGATGAAAACATACAATCAGAAGAAGACAACAAAGTCAAAGCTCCTACATCCACCAGCCTCCAAGAAAAATATGAATTGGTCCCAGGCCATGGAAGAGCTCAGAAACAGATTTTGAGAAGCAAGTAAGAGAAGTAGAGGAAAACTGAGAGTGGTGCAAGAAAATCATGAAAAACAAGTCAACAGCTTGCTGAAGGAGTCCCAAAAAAATACAGAAGAAAATAACACCTTAAAAAATAGCCTAACCCAAATGTCAAAAGAGGTCCAAAAAGCCAATGAGGAGAAGAATGCTTTAAAAAGCAAAGTTGGCCACATGGAAAAGGAAGTCCAAAAGCTTACTGAAAAAACACTTCCTTAAAAATTAGAATGGAGCAATTGGAAGCTAGCAACTATATGAGAAATCAAGACACTGTAAAACAAAACCAAAAGAATGAAAAAAATAGTGTGAAATATCTCATTGGAAAAACAACTGACCTGGAAAGTAGATCCAGGAGAGAGAACTTAAAAATTGTTGGACTATCTGAAAGCCATGATTTAAAAAGGAGCCTAGACATCATCTTTCAAGAAATTAGCAAGGAAAACTGCCCTGATATTTTAGCACCAGAGGGCAAAATAAAAATTGAAAGAATCCAGTGATCACTCCTTGAAAGACATCCCCAAAGGAAAACTCCTAGGAATATTATAGCCAAATTCCAGAGTTCCCAGGTTAAGGAGAAAATATTGCAAGCAGCCAGAAAGAAACAATTCAAGTATTGTGGAAACACAATCAGGATAACACAAGATTTAGCAGCTTCTACATTAAGGGACCACAGAGCTTGGAATAGAATATTCCAGAGGGCAAAGGAGACAGGATCACAACTAAGAATTACCTACCCAGCAAAACTGAGCACAATCCTTCAGTGGAAAAAAAATACACATTTGGTGAAATAGAGGACTTTCAAGCATTCTTGATGAAAAGACCAGAGCTGAATAGAAAATTTGGCTTTCAGATACAAGACTCAAGAGAAATATGAAGAGGGAAACAGGAAAAAGAAATCATAAGAGACTTATTAAGGTTGAACTGTTTACATTCTGCATGGAAAGATGATATTTGTAATTCATGAGTCCTTTGTCAGTATTAGAGTAGTTGGAGGGAAAAATTACATGTATGTATGTATGTATGTATATATATATATATATACACACACACACACAGATAGATGATAGGTAGATAGATAGAGGGCACAGGGTGAGTTGAAGATGAAGGGGTGAGATCTGGGGAATAAAATTAAGGGATAGCAGAGAAAAAGGTATTTGCTCTCATTTTCCCCTATGAACCTCTGAAAACCCAGAAAATATCACCCCAGAAAAAAACCCTGGAACAATTGAACTAGAAGAAAGACAGGGAGCAGCAGCCCAGCAAATGCATCTCCCAGTGCCTCAGCAAAAATAAGGGAAGCAGCATTACAAAGGGCCCCAGGTAGATAAGCACCCTGCAGCATTCATCTGAAAGGAGCTGAAGAAAGCAACCTAGAGTCTTCCTGAAGTCTCAGCCTTGTTGGTTCCAACCCAACACCAGGTAAGCTGTCAGAACCCTCCAACTGTCAACCAAGAAAAGATCCTGAAGCCCAGGTGGTAGAGCAGGCAAACACCAACACCTGGACCTCCAAGTGCCTCAGTGACAGCAGGGGCAACCGGTGGAAACCAGCTCAGAAAACTACCAGGTGTCTCAGCACTCTACCACAAAGGAATCTCCCAGTGCATTAGCAGAAACGAGGGAGGCAGCACTACAATGGGCCCCAGGCAGATAAACACCCTGAAGCACCCATCTAAAAGGAGCTGAAAAAAGCTAAAGGAAAGGAAAAGCAGGCAACCTAGAACTGCCTGAAAGTTCCAGCCTTGCTGATTCCAGCCCAACATGAGGTAAGCTGCCAGAACCCCTCCAATTGCCAACATAAGAGGCCCCAACACACAAAGCCAGTGACCAAGACCTAGGCTCCCAACACAAGAAGCTGGGGTCAGTGCCCTCTGTTCCCCAGCATTAAAGGCCAGGGAATAAAGAAACACCATGAGTAAAAAGAAACATACCATAGACTCATATTATGAGAAGAGTGAAGATCAAGACAGAAATTCTGAAGAAGACAACATTGTCAATAAACCCACATCTACAACATCAAAAGGGAATATGAACTGGTATGAAGCCCAAAAAGCCTTCTTAGAAAAGCTCAAGAAGGATTTTAAAAGTCAAATGAGAGAGGCAGAAGAGTCCTTAAAAAATACAGTTGGCCAATTGGAAAAAAAAGTACACTAAAGAAAACAAGTCCCTAAAAAACACAATTGGCCAACTGAAGAAGGAAGTACAAAAACTAACAGAAGAGAATAAAATTAAGTGGTGAGAGGATTATACTGGGAGAAGGAGAAAGGGGGAGGTAGAATGGGGTAAATTATCTCACATTAAACAGACAAGAAAAGGCTTCTACAGTGGAGGGGAAACGGGGGAAAGTGAGAGGGAAGGAGTGAATCTTATTTTCATTGGATTTGGCTTAAGGAGAGAATAACATACACACTCAATTGGGTATGGAAATCTATCTTACCCTACAGGAAAATAGGGAGGAAGGTGGACAAGAGAGCAGGAGGATGATAGAGGGGAGGGCAGATTGGGGGAGGGGGTAATCAGAAGCAAGCACTTCTAAGAAGGGACAGAGTCAAAAGAGAGAATAGAATAAATGGGGGGCAGGATAGGATGAAGGGACATATATTTAGTTTTTCACAACATGAACTACTATGGAAGTGTTTTGCATGACTACACTTGTATAACCTATATTGAGTTGCTTGCCTTCTCAATGAGGGTGAGTGGGGAGGGAGGAAGGGAGAAAATTTGGAAACCAAAATTTTAAAAACAAAAGTTAAAAAAATTGTTTTCACTTGCAACTGGGAAATAAGATATACAGGAAATGGGGTATAGAAATCTATTCTGACCTACAGGAAAATTGAAGGTGAAGGGGATAAGAGAAGGGGGTGGGGAAGAGATAGAAGGGAGGGCAGATTAAGAGAAGGGGCACTCAGAATGCATGACATTTTGGGGTGGGGGGAGGGACGAGATGGGGAGAAAATTTGGAACTCAAAATCTTGCGGAAGTGAATATTGAAAACTAAAAATAAATTAATTAATTAAAAAAAGAAAAGGGGGTATATACAAGAGATGTTTTGAAGGTAGAAATAACAGAATTGGATATGGAGTGGGATAAGAGAGAATGAGGATTGGAGGATCACACCTTGAATGTGAGCCAGGATGACTGGGAAGATGGTAGTGCCTCAACAGTAATAAGGAAGGTAGGAGGAGGGGAAGATTTGCAAAGGGAGGATAACAAATTTATTTTTGGATATACATGTGGTTTAAGACATCCATAGCATATCCAGTTTAATGTGTCCAATAGGCAGTTTGAGATGGGAGATTGGAGGTTTCTACTTTTTTTTTTTAGTAAGAAAAATTAGGCAAAATGGAGAAATGATCAGATAAAATGCTAAGATTGGCTTCTCTTCATTATCCCTCCCATGTGTTAATTCTCCTTGATCTTAATTGGGGGTATTCTTTATGTCATTTGCTACGGGATTGGCTTATACTATTTGCCCTCAGCACAAAAATTCCTGCTCTTGTCTCTGCTGGCCACTTAGTCACACACTTTTAAAAATGTTAAATTTAGTCAACCTTGGAGCCAACTACATTCAGACTCCAACATATAGCAAGACGTATCTATATTGAGCAACATTTCAGAGTTACAATATTAAAAGAACATGCCATTTCTTTTGTTGAGTCCTCTGGAACAGTCAGCAGAAGAGAGTTCCTGGAGGCAAAGGAAGCTCTCTAGAGCCTTAGTCACAGTGAGGAGAATGACTCACCTTGCTTTTCTTTAGCCAAGATGTGCATGAAAAAAGCAAGCCTGCAGTGATAGTTTTCTCTCATGTTCTTCATGGACCATACTCTTGGGGTTGAGGCAGAGATTGGAATGGATGGAACTGAGAGACTGGGTGTGGGAAGGCAGGGGTGTGTTGCTATGAAGAGTCTTGTTTAGAACATGCCTGCAAAGCTTCTAAGACACTGGCTTTACTTTAAACACCATAATGATTATATAAGGCAATGATCAAAGATTCTTGTTGAGAGGATAGAAATTTGGAATTGGAGAGACAGCGGAAAACTGGCTGATTAAGGAAATAATCTAAAAGGGAAGAGGAAGACTTTTCTCCCACTTTGCACATTGAAAGACATTAGGAGGAGGGGAATTGGGTCTTCTCTGTACCAAAAACTTCGTTATTAATTATTTTTATCTGCATGGATGTTTTTCTTTATTGAAGTTGTGCACTAGGACTTCTTTTCATCTTGCTGCCTGGACCAGAGGCTATGTCCCAGAAGGCATGATCCTTTGAACTCTGGAACTCCTTCCCTGGGGTCTTTCTGTCTAATTGGTGAGTGCCTCACATGGCAAACCATATTTAGGATATGTCAGCAATGCTTAATATTAATCCTAAGTCATCTTGACACCACTTTACTGTTTCACTCTCTGCCAACCCTCCTCTCCTGCCCATTCTTCATACTGGTCCCTTCCTGCTCTTAAAAACTGTGATTTTTGTGTTCAAGCAGAGCCTAAATGGCCTCTTATCAGGAATGCTGTGGAGTGAATTCCTCTTTCATAATTGGTTAACATCATGCCTATCAAATAATAAACACTTAATAAATATTTGTTGACTGACTGACTGGATAACACCTGTCAAAGTCGGTCAGAAAGATGATCAACTGTCAGCAGTTCTCCCCCTCTCCCCCACTGATGGGCTTGAGTTTAGTAGGGAAGAATTACATGCTCAGCTCTGAGGCCAGATGTGCAGGACATATAATCAGTAATGAATGAATGAATAAATGAAAGATCACTTCATTATTAGGTGCTTACCTTGTGTAAAATACTGTGCTAAGTGCTAGGCATAAAAGCAGAAGAGCAAGACAGTCCCTAATCTGAAGGAGCTCATAATCTCACAGGGGTAGGGGTGCCGCTTCGGCAGGAGGAGGGGAGTGGGAGGTGGGGAGATTATCTTCCCCATTAGGAATACTACAGCTCTAGTGTCCTGGCTCCATGGCTCCATCTATGGACTGTGCAGGACCCCTAATGAAATACAAAACCCACAAAGCTCCTAACTAATTGTCCTCTCAGTAGCTAGAATCATCACACATAACAACATCAGTGAAGACAGTAGGGGAAATTCCCAGACCACCACAGCTGAGCAGATTTTCAAAGCCTTAGCTTCTGTCTACTTAATGTTTTCATTTGTTCCACTGAAACTCATACAATTATAGATCCAGTCTTACCAGGTGCACCAACAGTGAGGCCTTGCAAGCTAATTTAAATAACTGCTTGGCCTTGGTGGAGCACCCCACGCCCATTTCAACTGAGTTCCTATTCTTTCTTGTTAACATCCACCCGTGGTTTATGGCTCTGGCTAAGCTCATCATTCACCCCAGGTTCCTTGCTAACATTTACAGAACCTTCTGACTCTGAGATTCTATAATTAAGTGGTAGAAAAGGCAAGAAGGCAATATGTATAACATTTTAAAAACTTTTTTTGTTTGTTTGACATTTACAGAGAAAAGATAAATACTACTTATGTGCATCTAAATTATAATTCAATTTTATATGCAAGCTAATAAATATTTACTGACAAATAAATTGGGTCATGTGTTATGACTTTATGTATTGTCTAATATACCCTCGTGAAATCACAATTTTATATAGATTTTTTCTTTTATGTTCATCTCTCTGATTTTAATGTGTTGATTTAGGTAAGAATATTTTTTCTGCTGGTATTTGGAAAAATGGATAATTTGGTCAATCTATTTGGTCAGTATACAATACTCAATTTCATTTAGCGAGTGTCAGCTTTTCTAACACTTCTTTGATTTTGTGTGTTATAGTTTCATTCAATTTACAATTCTATTTTGTATATGTTTTATAACTTTCTAAATTATTATATTCTTAAAAGAAATGTTTAATGTATTATTTTTATGTTAAGCTTTTGAAATATAAAAAAATTTGTAAAAATTATGATATAATATGAAAATTTTCAGGATTGACCTGATTTCCATTAAAAATGCCAAGTGGAGAATTTCCAAGTTGTATATGTTCTATTTCTTACATCTATCTTATCTATTATTTTCTTTCTACCCCCACTAATGTCCTGTCATTTCTTAGTTCAAATCCTTCTTACTTCTTGCCTGGACTATTTCCATGAGTAAACCTTAAGATCAAAGAAAGAAGAAAAACTCCTACATGTACAATACTATATATAGCAGTTCTTTTATGTTGTGGCAAAGAGCCTATCAGTTGGGGATGGTTGAACAAATTATAGTCAATGAATGTGATGGAATACTATTGTGCTGTAAGAAATGACAAGGAGTATAGTTTCAGAGAAACATGGAAAGATTTCATCAATATGACCTTTTGCAGAATGAAGTGATCAGAATCAAGAGGACAATTAAATATTGTAACAAAAATTATAAAAATGAACAACTTTGAAAACATTAAGAACTCTCATTAACACAATGATCAGCTATCATTCTAGAAGACTTATGATAAGGAATGCTACCTACCTCCTAATGGAGAAGTGATAGATTAAATATGCAGAATGAATCAGATTTTCGATATGGACAACATGGGGATTTATTTTTCTTGGCTAAGCACATTTGTTACAAGTGTTTTGTTTTTCTTTTCTTTTTTTTTTCTTCCAATGATGGGAGCTAGAAAGGAGATAAAATAAATGATTGTTAATTGAAAAATAATTTTAAAAGACTTTAATCAACTTTTTTGGCTGCTGTGTTATACTATTAATTCACATTGGGCTGACAGTCCATTAAAGCCGCCAGAACTATTTTTTTAAAAGACACATTATTGGATAGCCATATGGCTTCTCCATTTTGTTTCTATGAATTGGTTTTTTAATCTGAATGCAGCATTTACCTTTACACACCCAAATACAAAGGGTAAATAAAGGTAAGTGCTGTATTTAGATTCAAAATATCAATTTCATTGTAAATTAACTGTAAATATAATTATTTATAATTATTTAAACTGTTAATTATAAATTATAGATCAAAAGGGGTAAATAAGGGTAAACACTGCATTCAGATTTTTAAAATTATCAAATTTATCTTATCAGATGTATCAAATTTCAACTTATAAATTCCCTTTTTTATTTTGTTTCAATTTCCCATGATCTTTTCTTGGATACTGATTCTGTTATCCTATACATACATACATACATACATACATACATACATGCACATACATATATCCTATATATATCTTATATATCCTAATATATCATATATACATATACATGTCTCCTAATTTTGAGACATATGCAAATTTGGTAAATGTATTCCATCCAAGTCTTTCATATAAATATTGATCAGCATAGAAGCAAGGTCAGATCCCTGGGACATTCTACTAGAAACCTTTATCCAGGATGACAGAATTTCATTAATCAGCACTCTTTGGATCTAATCAAACCAGTTTCAAATCCATCTAATTTTACTATGATCTATCTAATATTAGTTAATACTTATCTAACACTTTAAAGTTTACAGAATGCTTTACATATATTTTCTCATTTGATCCCACTCCAGCCTTGTCAGGGAGGTGCTGTTATTATGAGAAAGGTCAAGTATCTTGCAGGGTCACACAGCTAGTGTGATGTATGGCATGGTTCAAACTCAGGTCTTTGTGATGCTAAATCTAATACTCTACACATTATATCACCTTGCTACCATATCTCATCTTCTCCATAAAGAAATCATCATTTAACCAATTTTATTTGTAAAGTATCTAGATGAAATCTAGGCACACATACTATATCTACGGTGTATCCTTGATCTAATTCTGTCCAAAAAAAGGAAATCATTTATTCTGCCATGACTTATTCTCAATGAACCCATGCTGGCTCCTAGTGGAGAAATAGAAAACATAACTCTCATTGGTGAAACAGTCTTTCCAGACTAAAATTTTCCTAGATTACTTTTTTTTAAAACTCTCTTTTGCTTCTATTATAACCTACCAATTTTCATACTTAATGGTATATATGTCATGCCTCTTACCACTAATTAAACTGAAACACCTTGATAGTAGAGACTATGCTTGTACCATGGGCACCAAGCACAGTGCTTTTTACATATTGATTACTTAATAACTATTTGAATGGATATTCTCCACATTAATACTCTAAATTATACTCAAACACATGGACTTTGGTTAGCTACTTAACTTATGGGCTGCTTGCCAAATTACTGCCAGCATTATTTATTCCTTAGGATGAAATTAAAGTATTGTCCTGTCTGCACAACTGGGAAAAGGCTCAGTCTTGACATCCATCCTTCTAAGACTCACTCATTTAATTAGTCAATAATATTTTTTAAGCACCTGCTATGTGCAGAAATCTATGCTCAGCGATAGTGAGATAGAAGCCAGGTTTTTATATGACATAATCCAAGGGTGGGGAACCTACAGCCTCAAGGCCACATGTGGCCCTCTAGTTCCTCAACTGTGGCATTTTGACAGAATACAAGTTTTACAGAATAAATTTGTTCTGTTTGGCCCTTAACTGTGAGCTCCTATCTTGACATTGTATGTGCCAAAAGTCCATGTAATTTGGCTAGACTCTTCAGAAAATACTAAGTTGTTGGAAATGCTGAAGGCCAATAAATAGTAGGTGGTATATTTGCGATAAGCAGTCCATTATCACAAAGGCAGTCCTACAATCATATTCCACATTTCTGTGGTGCTTCAATGTTTCCCAAGTTGTTTCCTCAGAATAATCCTGTGAAGTAGGTCATGGATATTTATTACCCCATTTTACAGACAAGAACACTGAGGTCCATAGAAGGTAAATGACTTGCTTTGTTCTGCAAATTTGTTTGGTAAAACTTGGACTCAGTCAAAAGGCCACACTTGAGGACCTAGAGGGCCACATGTGGCCTTGAGGCTGCAGGTTCTCCACCCCTGGCATTATGTCAATATCCCTGCCCTCAAAGACCTTACAGTCTAAGAAAGGATACCCACACAGATGGCTATAATACACAGTATTACATGATAAGCGCATTAGAGGCTTAATTTGGTCTTTGTAGTTAAAATACACACATAGAATCCAGTTGTAAAATAAAATCTTCATTTTGCTTAATAGTAGGGATTCCTCCTTCTCAAATTATCCAAATAATTATCTAAACTTTGTGTAGGTATATCCTGGATAATAATCAATTTCCTGTGTAAATTTAAATGATGTTGCTTCATCTGGTACCCTCTGCGCTTTCATGTTGCCATTTTAATTGGAAGCCCCCTCAGAGCTTTGAGAAGCACCAGGAAATCCACTCTCAGTGTTGGCGGTGGGGTAGTTGTGGGACGGTAAGATGTAGATAGAGTCTGAGGGGG